ATATATATATATATATATATATATATATATATATTTATATTTATATTTATATTTATATAATACAAAAATATGCTCTTTTTGTAGAATTTAAAAAAGATTCTTTTAGCGTGGAAAGATAATATTTTAAGAATTAATTTATAATTTTTAGATAAATAAACGTTTTATACTATATTCAATTTTTTTTATTATGAGCTCATAATTTAGTTGTTTTAGACATATTTAAAAAATTGTAAAACACACTATATTAAATTTTTAATTTTTGTTTAGAGAATCAAGTGAATTAATCCAAGGGTTCGTTTGGGCGGCAGTGCAAGGGCGGTGCGGCACCGCATTGCGATTTTATTTGTTTGGTTAAATTGCGTTTTGACATCTTCTTCAAAAAACTGTCGTTGAAATCTTTATTTTCCCACCTGTTATTGTTAGGTACAACGTCAGCTTATTTGACTTCTTAGAAAAAAAAAATTGTAATTGCCATCGTAGTTTTTTGAACATCTTTCAGGAGCTTCAAAGCTGCTTTTTAATAGGTTGCAACTGCCCTGAACATACCTAAAAATTAGACGAAATCATGTGCGATGAACGGTGTGGTTCAAACTGTTTTTTAATAAGCTACAACTACCCTAAACAGACCCTAAAAATAGACGAAATCATGTGTGGTTAACGAAGTGGATCAAACCACGCCACCGAACACACGGTGTAGTGCGATTCATGTTATCATCGATATCTCTTAATGATGACAGACATAATTTTTTCTTCAAATAGACAATGTAATTAAGTTGAAAATTATATATTTAGTTTAATGTATTTTTCTATTAATTCCTCCATTAATTTTCTTAATAAATTTTGAAGCTTTTATTGCCTCTCTTTATTGCTATGTTACTTTATTATAGCAAGCTTTGAACCCTGACATTTGCCAACCTTCTAAACTAGTATAATCATCGCCTTTATTTGAGCTCCGGTGTGCTATCGCGCGGATAAGCGTCTACTAGTTAATGGTAAAAAGCTGATGGGAAAAAATTGGAAGAGAGAGGAGAGAGCGAGCAGCATCGAGAGTGAATGTATTGGATGAATCTGAGAGACAACTTAACGAACACGTCGCGGTCAAGATTCGAATAATTTTGGCGATATTTTCAAAAGAGAATTTCCCAAACGATACGATATTAGACAATAGAGGTCGTTTCCAAAAATTTGGGATTTGAGATCGGCCGTCAAGATTGACAAAACGAACGGCTATGATTGACGATATACCATATAGTTTGCCGAGATTTTGATATCTCGGCAATTAGCACATTGTGAATCGGACGGCTGAAAACAGTTGTTGGGGGAGCAGGTTGAGCCCGGTTCAGGTGTTGATGGGTGGAAGAGTAAATATTTGGTAGGAATGTACATAGCAAAAATTTTGTACGAGAGATCTGAGATTTGGGCACTTACTATCAAAATTCATCATATCTATAAATTTAATGAATATTTCAAATAAATTAAATTAGTAAAATAAAATATTTACTTAAATCATGATAATAATAATGAATATTTTACAAAGTACAAATATTCAAGTTAAGATTTCAATATTAATTTTAATATTTTACTAAAGTTTAATGAATGAAAATAAAGTACTTGTTTTGTAAAAAAAATTGATATTTCATGGGTTTGTAGAAGGGGCACCAATTCGGATCAACAAGTAGAGTTCGAGTTAGACTTCAATTTAATTTAATTTGATCGACTGGATAAGAAATTGACTCGTTGTTAGATGAGTGAAAGTTTGGCCCAAACATAACTCAAGCGCAGGATGTAGCCCCGAGTTATGTGTTTGACATATTTAGATACATATGGGAATAAAAATAGTGACATACATGCCAAATTGATTGCAATTGATAAGGCATAACATCCATTATACATTCACAAATACAATCTATGTCTCGAGTTTAAGTTAAAATTAAGCAATTGGGTCAATTTGAACCCAACTCCAAAGTTAAATGGGCCACTATTCTATATGAGAACTAAACTTGGATTTTAATTGGTCAACCCAAAGTTAATTTTTCGAGCCGGGTTCTTATTGGGTTGTCATTCTGAGGTATGCAAAAATTTTAATTTTATTATGACCCAAACTAGGACATCTAGGTGGCTAACTGAATTTCACTTAAACATCATACATTCTTGAAACTTCAATTCACGAAATCACTCTAGTTTGGTTAGGGCTTAGTTAAACTTAAATTTAGTTTGGTGGAGCCTTTGATATCTTGTTTCTAGTAATTCCTAATTTATTTTGGCAAAGCAGACTCCTTATAGATCATAAATATATAGTGCATTTGATTATCCTAATAGACCTTCAACAGTTTAATTATTATAAATTCTCTAGTTATTTTTTCATGCATATAAAGCTTAATAGTTTCCTCTTAATTTGTATAGTTGATCTTAGATTTAGTTTGGTGGAGCCTTTGATCTCTAGTTATTCATATTTCGTAATTTTATTCGGCAAAGCAGACTCCTTATAGACCGTAGATACACCCCAGGCATAAAATAGTAATCAATGTCTTTCCTTAGTTATTTTAGTTGTCTAGATAGTTAATTAGCTTAAATTGTTAACTTTTGGTCTAATTTTTTCTATGATTATAAGCAAACTATTATAGCTCATTTAGATCATCTTATTTGATATGAGTCTTATTTTATAGGACCTTGATATTAAATTATAGTCCTCCATCTTTGATCTATAAAGGTTAATAGTTTATCCTTTGCCTACATATTCCATAGTCGATCTAATTGAACTTTTAGTTGAAACTCTAACCTATCATATTTGAACTTAGAAAGTTAGTAGCCTATGTTAAATTTGCCTAGCTAATCCTATGTTATCTATGCATACCTTAACCCTTGTTCATAATATCCCCTATTCTTATTTGAAATTCAATTTGATTGGTTTTAACTCATTATTTTGTAGTTGATATTGATAGATAATTCATCTTGGTTACTACTTATGATATGCAAAAATGACTCTTATCACACCATCAAAATTGAAAGGATGTCTTCCACCATCTTAGTGATGAGGGATAAACATAATGGCATCAAAGTTGTAAATTTGTCTTCCCTATATTTCCTCTTGCTAGTTAAAAATATTTCATATGTTCTCTCTCATATCTAACATTTGTAGTTCCTTGCTTATTTTATTCACAAAAAACTCGATCTCTAAAATGTTCCAAAAAATACTAGAATTTTATTAAAGTTTGCAAGTGATGAATAAAAATGCATAATAACTCAAATGGTCTCATTGCACTTATCTGCGACGCACATGTGGTTGAGAGTGACGTATTTTACAATGATTTACGTGTTTGAATCGTGCATATTGCCCTTCAGGCTCACCTTTACTAAGGGAAAAAAGAAAAAAAAAACTCAAATGATCACATGATATTAAACCATTCTTCTATAGACATCAATAAAATTTTTGAAACTCAAATGGCTATGTGTGATTACAAGCTCTTATAAATTGGTCCAGCTAGACTAATTGTTCCAAGAGAAAATTATGAATTAAACCCTGACATATAAATTGGAAATATAGCATAAGCCATTATTTCAAAAATGTGATTAAAATTTAATTTTCATTCCCACCCTTTAAAAATATAATTGAAAACATTTTTTAATTACAATTTGGCCTTAGAGTCCCATGTTTTAATTACCTTGTTAATTAAGAATTTTATCAACAAGTGCAGCTTTACTGATTCAAGTCCCTTAGTACATTCAATACATAATTATGTGCTCATTGTATACTCCATATGTTTTTATACACAAAAAATGCACATGATATATTCGTTGTGCATTCCAAATAACTGAAATATGTAATGAATACTGCGCAGCCTATTTAGTTTAGTAGTTGGAAGTTCTATTTCTAATCACAAGATAACACAATAAATACATCGATACGTACATACTTGCATATATCTCACACAGATATATAATACAGCATGTAATCCACATATAAACTATAGGTTGCATTTGGGTCACAGGTACGGTGGTGGTGACATCGTATTTTTAGGTGTTTGGCAAAATTACCTTTTGATTGCTTTTTAAAAAAACTGTGGTGGAAAGCTGTGTTTTGAAATGCCGTGATGACCAGAAAGCTAAAGTCTAACTTTTTGAAAAATATAAAATAAATTTGTAATTGCAACATTAACTTTTTGAACAACAACTTATTTGTTCGATTGTAGCTTCACAACTGCTTTCCTCAAACAACCACAATCGCCCTTGTAGCTTCACAACTGCTTCCTCAAACAACCACAATCGCCCAAAAAAAAAAATAATACTACATGCTTAGTCCGGATGCATTCGAACTCTATGTACAGTGTCGTGTTTGTACGAAGTACAATGTGTACAACGTTATAGTATAAAATTTGAACGCATCATGATTCCGCTCGTAATATTCTCTCTTCAAAGAGACAGTTTTAATCATCTTGCACATAAGAGAGAGAGAGAGAGATACATAATTAAACAGCTAATCAATCCCATTTTATATCTCTGACCTTGTCTACCTTCCTTTAGCTCCTCATTTATAATCATTTATAATTATTTTTAATTAATTATCATTAATAATTTATGGTCTCTCTCTAGGCGTGTAGGTTTCCATGATATTGGCGTAAGAAGAAAGTTGTATATATCCTTCGTATCCATATTTCAGGCTCATGATTTGAGCTTTTCTTATAATAACAT